AAAAATGGCAACTCCGACCACACAATGCCCCAGGGCATTAAACTGCTACAGAAGGCTAGTTATAATTGAAAGTGGAAGATGTTTTCTAATTAATTATGTAAACCATGCTGCAGCACAACCCAGCCTTATTTTCAGTAATATAGTATAATTTTTGGCACGGTTACATAGTGTATTGTGAGCAACTACCAATCTTAAGAAGCTACAGCTTTGTTTCCGTTGTTTCTCAATTGCAGTTTTAGAATTAGGACACGCACCACTGTGAGATTTAAAAAAAAAAAAAACACAAACAAACCACAAATGATAAAAACCTATGCCCCCCCAAATTTTGGGAATTTCTTTTATATTCCTTCTAATTGCAAGCCTGTCTAATCTTACATTTTCATGCTTTTCACTGTGACTGAGAAATAGGGATGTACTTTTTCATAAATTAAAATAAGTATCTTCATGTCATCACCTTCATCTCCAGGATTTCTATTCCTGGAGATCTAACAAAATATACACTATTATGGAACTTTTAAGAAATAAAATATTAAGAATGGAGGAGGATTTACTTCTGTCAGCCTCCTTCCAGAGAGATGCTGAAACTTTTAATGAAGAATCTTTCCTCCAATCCTGTGTGCTTGATACCAGACCTCAATCTGTTTCGTGCAGGTGTATCAGGAATGTCACTTAACATTGTAGTAATTTGCAGGTGTCCCCAAAAGTTTGTCCATGAGACTATTGTATTTACACTTGCTGGTTCCATCGAGACAATGTGCTTAATACTGTCAGATTTGTTTCAATGCACTTAGATATAATGCAAGCATAAGATAAAATAAATTGCGTGCCAGCAAATTAAGAGTAGGTTTTTGACTATAGAGTTGGGAATGCTGGGGAAAAAAAAGAAGAAAGCAAAAAATGAGGAAATCTAAATGTGTAGTGTATTTGAGGTTAATCTTTTTTCTAAACTGTCATTTAGGATTTCTTCAAGACTTAGCTGCATTTGTTAAGGCTAGCTCAACAGATCCCTGCCTTAATGGTTCTGTCTTTCAGAGCAACCTGGTTTTTCTTCATCTAAACGTGCTTCAGGGTTATCATCCTATCTCTGTGTTCAGTGAATCTTCAGAGGCTTTCCTGGACTTCTTGAAGGGGGTCCATCTTATGATTCTGGTATTCAGGTTTCCCCATGTTGTCTGACACCAGTCTTTCCTCACAGCATGAGCTGGATCTTGCACTGACTGTCATTTCATGATTATCTCAAACTCCTGGTTGCTGTTACTGACTACCAAAAGGAAGAGCCCAGCCTTTTTTTTTTTTTTCCTCCTCCCTTCCCCCAAGGAAATTTCAGCTCATCTCTACAGTTACAACAGAAAAAAAGCAGTTACCACTGTACATTATTAAAAACAGTTGTCACTCAAAGCTCGTAACTTGTTTTCTATCTTAAAGCTACATCTGTAAGTACCAGTGCAGTGAGGCAAGGAGAATTTAAGAGGGACGCACAGGATCCCAAAGTAAATCAGAGGCACAGCTGTGAACAGAGGCAGCTCTCTTACCTGTTACAGGGCCATCCCTCCCCTGTTCTGTCAATGCTGTCAGTGCCGACGTTGATACCCAATTACAAACAGAAACGTGTGCGTCTGACTCGCGTGGTTGTTACCCTCTTAACAGTTGTTCCAGCTTGAGAATATGAAGACCTGTTCAAGAAGTATTAAATATAGAGGTGTCATGAGCCTTATTCTTCAGAATTGTATTCCAGCCCTCTCAGTTTCTGCTATTTGCTCTTTTACCTTAGTCTAAACATCCGTTGCAAATCTAATTCCTAAGTTGTAGAGATACTGCATCCATAGGGAGAAATGCTTCACTTATAATCACGTTTTATAGATCCCTTTGTGGTTTATTCTGGCACTTTGATTTGTCATAGTTGAATAAATTGAATTCTGTAAAGTGCTCTTGTAAAATGCCACACTTTTGATTTTAAATATGCTTCGGTGTGATGAATGCAGTATTAGAGTGGGATGTGGAGTAATGCTTAGATTTGTGGATTGTAGCTCTAGGTTTTATTCTCAAGCCTCTCACCAGATTATTATATGAATCATGGACAGGCCATTTTCAGGATTTCTGCTTCTGCATTCCACATCTGTAAAATGAATCTACTTTGCCTATACAGCTGGTCTGTGTTGATACCCAGTTGGTTATTTTTTGAGCAGCTAGGCAGCAGGCATGCTGTAACATGTCATGGAATGGTTGTTGCACTCATATACTGGTTACCAGTCCGCTACCTTGTACTTCTGTCATCTTTTTATTGAGAACAGATACTTTCCTGGGTTGTAAATTGTCTAAAAAGGAATAATTGTTTTAACATCTATTTATATGGTGACTATCATAGTGAGTTTTCATTCCTTGGGTGAAGCAAGTAGAAGAGAAGGTATTACTAGAATACAAACGTAAAATAAAGTTAATAACGTACTTTGAGATCTTTGAATGAAATATGCTGAGGGTTAGTATAGCTGTTTCCTTTCCAAGAAAACATTATCAAACATTATTATTTTTATAGGCACTTTCACCTGCTGTACTTTAAAAGCAGATAGTAGTTACCAGTGTGTCTCAATCCATCAGTTAATGGTGGAAACTAAAGGACATGAGCAAAAGATATCTCTCCATTAATGAGGTCTGAAGTAAGGTTCTGAAACCTGCCAGAAATTAAGAATGGCATGTTTTTCTCTAGAGTGGTTTACCTTTTGAGGACTTTGCTTGATAATGAATAGCGGCTTAATAATAAGCTGATACTAATTCAGAATTAATATCTGAAGTAGGTTTAACAACTAATAAAAAAGGGCTGTTGTGTATGTATTAAACCTGGAATAACATATCTGATGCATCTCTGTGTTTTAGGCAGTTAATGACTTTTTCCATCAAGTCTGGAGATGTATTCATTTGTGAAGTGATTTTATGACATGTGGAAGTTTGATAAAAGAATTCTAGCTGATATGAGGGAAGAAATCTGGAAAGCAACAATGCTGAAAAGGCTATAAGATAATTTTACAGATTAGTGGATTCTAGGTGTCATATGTAGGAGTAGCCCATGTTTTGTTTTAACTATCTGGTTCTGAAAGGAGCATGTCGGGGAAACTAGTTTCCCATATTTTCTCTGGAAAGGGAGGAAGGGAGGTGATGCATCTAACTAGTCCCTAAAGGAAAGATAAGTGTTTGAATGGGCATTCATTACAATATTTGAAAAAATGTTTTTCAGATAATCGCCTTTGATGAACTTCGGACAGACTTCAAAAGCCCAATAGATCAGTGCAACCCAGTCCACGCAGTGAGTACAACCAGTGTCTTGCTAAGCAACAGCTACTAAAGAAAGGGAGATGCACTGAGCTGTCAGTGAAAGTATGAGTGTGGAAATGAATATAGAGTCTGTTGTGAAGTCGACTGTAGTTTGGAAAACTGATTTATTGGGCCAGTCTTAGAAAGCCAGATGGTCATTCTTTATGCTAATAGCTTTCCTCTTTGAAGAAGGCAGGAAAATAATTTGGAAGTTCAAAAACTGAAGGATATATAATGTGATGTTTTTGCTTTCTTTTTATCTTTTCATTCTATGGCACAAGTTCTCCTTTTTGAAATAATTTGGTTTCTCTGTGTTCAAGCATGGGATGACCACCTTCTCCCATAGTGTCTGTATTAATGAGTCAAAAGCTTGAGGGGATTTGATAAGAGGTGCATTCCTAGACCTCTCTGTCCTGTGGCAGGGCTCTAAATTCTCCTGTGCTTTAAGAGTAAATAACACACTCTGCTGCATCTGTTGTGGAAAAGGTTAAATATCACCCTGGGACTGTAAACTCAGTTTTACCTAATGAACCAAAATGCAACCCAGATTTAAACATATGAGAATTCCTCTGTTAATTAAAGCTGTAATCTAGGGTGATATAGCTGACTACAGTTAAACATGCATCAGATTTGTACCATCAGAACTGAGAGCAGAACTTGACTCCCCATCATCTCACTGGGAATTACAATGATTATGACAGGTGCTGAATTTGATCTCTACAGAGTATCAAGTTATTGAATTGCCTACAAATGATAACCAGATTCAGTAGCTAGTACTTTGCCATTTAACCTTGTTTCATAACTTGGCAGAGGATTTGTGGTACTGCTTAGACCACTGATGATTTTAAGTGTAATCTTTACATGAATCTTCGAATAAGACTTGTTTACTGTTCACTAACACATAAGCAAAGAATGAGAACAGAAGAAAGAGATTACATGAAGAAATCCTACAGAGAACTTCAATGGAAGTAATCTGATTTTGAATTCACTTTATCTGTTTTTACTTCCCATCTTGAGAACTGCACACAAGAAATGTCTATTTATATGTATCAAGTTCCAGTAATTTGTTCTGTTCCTAAAACTTATAAGATGCTCCATGGAGGTAATTTTATCTTATTTTAACATGGTAATGGAATTAGTCTCCAGGATAAAAAAAGTAAGTCCCTGTTTCAGTCATATTAGTGGTGTAATTAAAAAGTTAATTGGAGATTTTCCAGTAAAACACAGCAAAGTATTCTGTGATCACTTGACACATTTGACTCTCTTCTATGAAACTTTCTGCGATAACTCAAGCAATAATCTCAGATTGCTTTCTTCTGCACAATTTACATGTTGATGCCTTTTATATTGACATAAAAGGAAGATTTTTTTAGCAGGGTTTTCTTATATCTTTGGTCAAGTGTATTTTCCTTTTTCCCTATGCATAGTTGCTTGTGCCTATATTCCATTTATTGGGTGGGGTCGTTTTCTCTATTGCAGTATAAGAAAGTCTGATGCTTACTCACGTATCTTCCACAACATTTTCATGACGGAGGGTAGAGCCTTTTTGACAAGAAAAGACTGAATTAAGGAGAAATCAGAAGCAAAACTAATGGCAGTAATGAGAATTTAATTACTGTAGATAACTCTCTTACGTACAATTAAAAGACAGACTTCCTACTTCTCCAAGGCCAGCTGCAGTTAGGCATCTGTCTTCTGAAGGGAATCGAGAGGATTATCTTTCCCTCTCCATTTACCTCCTACTAAAGGCAAGGCTTTCTGCAGATTCATAGGCACATCCACACACGTCCATTCTCATGTCTGCAACTGTGAGTCTAAAATTTCTGAATCTCTCTTAGATCACAAGCACCAGAGAGAGGCACAATATTTCTCTGGTGCCTGTCAAGCTGCTGCTGTTTCATTGTCTTTCCAAAATGATACTTTTTTAAAAAATGACTTAAAGATGGGGACAGGAAAGGAAAAGAGACTTTTCTTTGGACAATAGAATTAAAACTCAGACTTGGAGCAAATTTGAAACATTTGAAAAGCAAAAAGCTTAAGGGAGAGCTGGCTTCTCACATTGATATAATACATTACCTGTTTAAAAAAGGTTATTGTTCAGAATATTTTTTCCCACGTCTAAATGAAAACGTCACCACGTAGCCGTCTGAGGACAGCAAAACCACTCTACCTTCTGCAGTGTAACCAACAGTAAAATCTTTCACAGTAACTCCAGTGATGGGGTTATGCACAGTGAAATCTGATTTTACTCGTGAATTTCTCATTATGAGCCATGTAAAAGGAAACTTGTCTTCTTTCTGTGAATCGAGCTTAGAGCATCTTTTGAGGCACAGTGCTTAATTACAGTGACTTTCAGTATTTATGAAAGCATCTGTTGTTTAAAGTGGCATTTCTAGGACATTTCAGGTATTCTTCACTAATGGGTTAAATTTTAACATCGCATGTTGCTCGTCACCCTCTTAGTGATAGAGGAACGGCTGCCATACCAACTTCATAGTTGTTTTTCCCATTGAGAATTATCTTGAAGCCAGAGGTTGGGTACCTGAAAATGCAAGACCAAATCTATGTGGTATAGATTGGCACCATTGGATAGAGCTACAAATGCTGACTTAAAAAGAAGTTGCAGCCTCTGGCTCAAGGCTAAGACAGACTTGAATCCCCAGTTTATATTGTTACAACCAGCAACAGATGAAAAAATAACTTACTGGGACTTTGAAATGGGTAAATCTTTTGGCTTGCAAGCAGTAGGTAAGAAGTGAATACTATCGTTTCAGATTAATAACATGTTTTGCTTCCTTGCAGCCATTAATTATGATCTTGACCCATTGTAATTGTAATATATTGTCTTTAACTTATAACACCAGCTAATCTCCTATGTTTTCCCACTTTTTTCTCAACAGAGAGAGCGACTGAGAAATATTGAGCGTATTTGCTTCCTCCTGCGAAAGGTGAGCATAAACTAACCTAGGATTTGAGAAGTTTATGAGAATTAAAGCCATCCGGTAGTGATGCGCATTCATTTTTCTCTTTGATCCTTGTACTCCATTGATGAAAGGCTGGATTCTACTGCAGAAGTGGGAGTCATGATGACCTTGTAAGGACGGAGTAAGACAAATTATAAAAGGTTAACATAATAGAGGATTTCTGGGTAAGAAGTGAAACTTCAGAATATCAGCCCATTTGTTTTGGAACATGCTTTTTCAAGGTGATGAATCATTTTGCAGTTGCAGCTTGGGGTGCTTTTATAGCCCTATCAACTGACGATATTGCTATAGTATAGGCTTTAGAAATACCCTTTTTTTTTTAACAGTGGCTTACTATTTGATAAACTAAACATTTTATTAGCTACATATTTAACATTTATGTTTTTTTAATTGGCTGAATAGAAAAGTTGATACCGTATTTATTTTAACTTGACTCAAGAGAGATGCTGACTGCCTCAGTTTGAGGGATTTGAAGGAGCTGATGAATTGTAGGATTGATACATTCATGGGTTACTCATCTGTAGCTTGAAAGATGGTTTTCATAAATTCTCATTGTTCTCCTTACTCTGTCCCACTGAAGTAAAAATAATCATAATTCCAAACTTTTATTCTGTATATTCAAGTTTCTATAAATTGCCTTCTGCAGAATAGTAATGGAGCCACCTAAATTATTCTGCGTTTTTGCTTAAGAAGGTCATCGCTGAAGTGTGGACTGCTGACTGCATCCTAATCAAGCCAAGAACTAAATTCAGATGTGGTTTTAAGAAATTGATGGCCTCATCCTTAGAGGTTTTGGGAAAGCCAGTGCTAGGGATTATTGGTTTGGGGTGATCCAAAGGCATAACTGTGGCTCCATGCAGAATCTCTGAAGTGTTATTCTCTGATCAGTCACAACCCGAGTTGTATCTGTTTGGCACCATTATGAGCATGTGACTGTTAGAAGCCACATTTAAGTACTTACTTAGCCTGTTTATGATACTAGGGATATGAAAATAAGAGAAAATACTTATCACCAATAGCTTTCCATTTTGTCAAATAGGGAGCCAGCCAATTTCAAGCTGTGTCCCAGTTTCTTTGGCATAAAGCAACTGGTGAGTGGTAACGTATTAATGTATGTAAGCCCCATGGGAATGCCTTACCTGCATCAGTGTTTAATTTTTATTGAGCCTCAGCCTCACCATGAACAACAAAACGGAGCATTTTGGCTAATTACAGACTCAGTATTCATAAGGGATTGGCTTGCTTCTGGTTCCCTTGAAGAGTTTGTTAATTCAGGCTCTTCTTCAAAGCTCTTTGGGGACGCATTTGTTTTAATTGAGAGATTATATGCAAGAAGAGGAAAGTGCAATAGCTACAGAGATTTGTAGTCTTCAAATCTTACAATCACTAAAATAGCTCTCGTTTATGTAGTATAAAGGACTCGCTCTTGGGGAAAACTCTGGAAAACAGTGAAGAATTGAGTGCCAGCTATATAGATACAGGAAAATAGCAGTTAGGATGCTTTCAGCAAGCACTAAATATATCCCTCATTATAACATTCTGCAGCTTTAGGTCTGTTTCTCTTTCTGTGAAACAACAGCATATCTGTTTTCCTATGTCTTGAAGTCAGGTAATTCTTTTAAAGGTCTTTGAAAACAGTGATATCTTGCTATTTATGACATTAGAACTTGATGCTTAGGATCTGCTGTAAATCTTTTTTAAAGAGGTTATAGGTGGGATATAAAATATGTGTTCAATTTCATTATATGCTTGTTTTAGAAGGGGTTCTTGGGAATTATTAAATGGGCATACAATATGTCATATAAATCTGATCCCAGCGGGAAAAGTGTTTCTTAAGGATGAATTTTTGGTTTTGTCTCTAAAATACTTGGAGAAGATTATTAACAAAGTGTGACCAGGTATGTGATATGTCACCAGATATTATACAACTTATTTACATTTTCCAAAATGGAATGAAGGATGTAATTGTTCTGCAGCCAGGCATTTTCTGATGTTTAGTTTTGGGAAAATGTCTCTATATCATTAAAACAAGTAGGGATCACGTGAAGCAGATATATGTGGTGCTGGCATGCGTACATGCATGTACACATGGGTCCATGTTTTCATGGTGCTATAGAATTAGAATTAGATCAGCCTAAGTTTTCTGATTACTGGGGAATGGTGGATTGTGTATAAAGAAGCTATGAACTTTGTATAGCCACAATCAAATCTCTTCTATCCTGAAGCAAATGAGAGGAAGGACTTATTTTCTGAAGCCAGCACAAAGTGAGATACTCTCAGGATACAGGTATCTCATTTTATTTAGAAGTGTATTTTGGGGGCTTTATAGTATAGATTTGTGTTCCTGTGTGTGCTGTAAGCTGTTGAATATTCCACTGTGTGGACACTGATGTGTCGTACAAGTGTTACATCATTCACATAGGACATACCCTAGTATTGGCGGATGCTGTGGAGTCTGTCTGTGCTGTCTTTTTTGCTAAATTCCCTTTGTTTCTCTAAGGATATGATTACATGAGACACTACAATGCTGTACACAAACTAGTTGTGAATGAGCTGTCTTGAGTTAGGGGAAGCAGTACAGTATACAGCAGTACAGGCTTCTTGGGCTCATTAGCCCTGCTGAGGAGTGGGACAGGTGAGGTGTGCCATATAGGTCTACCGTGATTTTTGTAATTAAATATTTTGGTGGGGTTATTAAAATACATCCACTTAATGATGACAGCAATATTATATAATTGTATTTGCAGTTGTATTTCAAGAAATCTACCTATCTGATTGATTCCTGTTGGATATACTTATTTTAGCACTAAGGACAATTAGGAATTTCCTAGATTACAACACAGTCCATTTAATTAATCAACTACTGTAATGTTATTACTCTACCTTTGAGGAAATTTAAATTAAGTTGTGATTAGGTTATGCATCATAATTTTTGAATTAATTTGATAGATTCTTACTAAGGAGGAGAGTTGATTGAACTTGCTTCCTGCTTAGCAAACATATTTCAGACTTCAGTTTGCTGATTTTACTGATTTTTCTACTGTCGTTAGGCATAAAATTCATAAAACTGCAAGAGTAAGAAAACATTTTACCAGAGGTCAGTCCTTTTTCTTGATTTTATTTGGGGTTTGTTTGTTTATTTTTGGGGGGGATGGCGGTGTTGGGTTTTTTGTTTGATTGGGTTTTTTGGGGGGTTTTTTTGGTGGTTTTTTTTTTGGTTTTTTTTGCAAGTCCTGAAGGGATGATTGGAAGAAAGCAAATTCAGCAAGAAATCTAACCACAGGCAAGGTGACATTAGTCTCAGAGACGTTCCAGATGAACTTGAACTGTCTTGAAAAGTACAAACAAATACACAGACAAAAATCCCTGCAGGGACAACTTTTGAATAACCAAACTTAGCCGGCTCAGCACTCCAGTACTAGCAGTACAGCAACAGTAGATTGTAAATCAGGAGATGGGGCATTTAAAGAAACCAACCAAACAAAACCAACAAAACCTCTTCACCTAATGTTTTTTGGAGCAAGTTTTGATGTTTCAGTTAGGAGGTTGGGAGTTGCCAATGCTTGGTCTGTTCTAGTACTTCTGTCACTGTGCTTTCCACTGGATCTGGATCTGCAGTAGTAGTGGTGGAAATTTATTCCATACTCAATAGTTCTGGTGTTTACCAGGTTCAATTCTGATTTTTACTACTCTGCAAAAATAAAATAAATCTATCTTTTAAACTTATATTCCATAATATGTACACTAATACATGTCATAATTATGTCTTACTGTATTTACAGGTTTTGGTAAATAACCAAACCCAGTGTTACCTTAAAGAGCAATTATAGAAAACATTCCATTCAGACTGAGATACTGTAAACAAAATGTAAACCTAGTGACCATAATACATAATTCCAGACACCTGAGTGTCTGCACACAGTTTTGTTTTGGTATGTTTCCATATTTAAATATTCTGTAAAAAAAAGTCAAAATTACTTACATGTGTGAAAGTAACAGTAATTCAGAGGCGTGAGTACTCAGAAGCTTGAAGAGTTACACCCCAGGTTCAACTGTAGACAGAGCATTTCAAGGAAGAAAATAAGGCTTGATCCTATGTCTGTGTCATGCCTATTTGTCAGTGTTGAATGCTCATACTCAAAACTTGAATAAAACCCACAATTATGTTCAGTGAAATGTTAATGAGCTAGTTGTATCAGGTAACCAGAAACAAGTTAGTTTTTTAGCTTTTCCTTAAGAGCAGATGAAAATCATATTTTCTGAGTATGGAGGTTCTTCTGCTTGACATGTAGACAAATATTATGGGAAATCAACATTTTTTAAAAGTAGCCCTTTCTTTGTTTATCCTTATTCAGCTGATTTTTCTTTCCCTGCGTATTTTGGAAGAAGGAGACTGACCAATGTGCAGTAGAGCAATTGCCATGCGAAATAATTTTTGTGCTTGAACCTTGTTAGGTTCCCGACCTTCACCTACCAGTAGCTCCTACCATTCTCTGCCTGCAGCAGCTACAGTGGGCAGACCCCTCTGGAGACTGTCAGGTGTCACAGAGGCTGATTTCAATTGACTGATCATATTCTTTTCTTCTTGATAAATTTACTGGTTATGATGATGATCACTCCTTCCATTGTTCTGCCTCATGGTCACTGGCGAGCCTGAGATAATGTGAAGGATTTAAGTGTGTGTTTCTGTATATGTCATTGATTGCTTCATCATGGATTTAGGGATTTATAGATGTGTGACATTCTTTCAGCCAGTCTGCAGGCTGATAGTCATTAGTAGCGTGCTTCTGTAAGCCTATAGCATGGTTCATTAAAACGCTAAATGTAAGGTTATATAAGCAAATTTAGCAAATGCAATGTATAATCATAAGGAATTTTTAAAGTGGTGCTTATCCATCCGTATGTAAGAAGGAATCATACTTTTTTCTGGGAGTTGAAAAATCTCATAGGCAGAAACTACAGCA